GCTGCCACAAACAGGGGCTGCTGCCAAAGCTGCCACTGTTTAGAGCAACTGGGGCTGGCTACAGATAGGGGCTGCTAGACTGAGCAAACCTAGCTCAGACTCAGCTCATACTGCTATAGGACATACTTGCACTAAGCCTCTGTAATTTAAATGTAGTAGGAACCTGACTGTATGTGCACTCAGTTCCTACTACATTTAAACTGCAGAGCTAGCTCCTGGACCAGCACAAGCTGGGACAGAGTGCCTTCCCTTATCAACTAATGATGTAGTCAATACAAACTTGTATTGACACCACATTTAATCAATTACCCACCTCTTAACATCCTTACTCCTTACAAAACATTTTCTAGAGCTTTCAATGTCCAAAGCAACAGGGCTTCCCTGATTTCCCAGAAGACTATTGCTCAGACTAACAGAAGAAGCCATATTTTTCCTCGTTCTAAGGCATTCCACTTAGTTTGCACCATCGAAATGTTTTTTTACCCAGCCTTCTTTCCTAAGTCTTTCAAAATATATGCAGGCTATAAAACACACTATGTGCAATACTTACACACTAGCATGTGGTTTCTTTTTGGAAAAATCACAAGCAAGGCCAAGATCTGATATCCTTACATGTCCGTGCTCATCCAGTAGGATGTTAGCAGGCTAGAAGCACACAAAGAGAAATATAAATGGTAACTGAAAAATATAAGCCTTTGAGCAACAGAACAAATTCACAAATCAACAAACCTGACTTCTGTGCACCTCTAGTCTATGGCAATTGCTATGTTTACGAATGCTACACAAAACAAATACTAAGGATGTTAAAGAGTAGTTATTTGGCTAATTGTGTAGTCAATACAATTTGTATCAACTACACAATTAGTTGATAAGGGGACTACTCTGCAGAGCTGCAGCAGGCGTAGCTCCCAGAGATGGTACAAACTGGGACTGAGCAGGACTGGCTCATGCTAGCTCTGGAACACTGCAGCTCTGCATTTTAAATGCAAAGCTGCAGTGGTCCCAGACTGGCACAAGTTGTGACTGTTTGGTCCCAGCTTACACCAGGTGTTGCAGCCCTTGCTCATGCTGGCCCAGGCTGACCATGGGCAGGGGGACCCCTGTGGACAGTGGCTATTGCCAGAACAGCCTCTGTCCACAGTGAGCCTGAGCCCACTGTGGGCAGAGGCTGCTTTGAAGCAGCCTCCCCATCCCCCTTGCTTGCTCCAATAGAGGCAGCGGGAGATGGTGGGGAAGGGGGAGAGAGAGGGGGAGAGGACAGGCAGCACCATGTAGTCAATGCTGGGGGGAATCAGCTTTTAAGCCAGTTCCCCCCAAAACTGGCTCCTGTCCCGTCCCCCTCCTTGCAGTCTCTCATAGAGGTAGCAAGGGAGAGAAAGGAAGTAGTTGAGTATTCCATTCAACTATCTGATAAGGTTATGCTTATCGGGTAGTCGAGTAGTTGATTACTAGCTTACATCCCTAACAAATACCAAGCAGTTTTGTACAATCAAGGCATGATTTTATACAAGGTTGCATTGACCTTTCTACTAGGAATGTAAAATCCCATTTAATTAGTTAACCACACTGGGCTACTGGCTCCCAGCCTGTGAGCTGAGAGCTGGCATTGTTCCACCCCTCGCCCCCGCAATGCGCAAGCAAGAAGGTGCTCCTGGGCAACAGTTTGCCATTTATATCCCTACTTTATATTGCACCAACACATTATGAATAAGGATAATCTCAAAGGTTACACAAGGCAAGAAAGTAAAATGGTCCAATTAACCTTATGTGCTGCATATGGGAGAGAGCCAAGGAGTGATAAAACCCAGTCAGGAGAGGAGCTGGGATAGCCTTATAGAGAGGAAGTTAGTGATCAGAAAAGTGAATGCAGAGCTCCCCCATGCAGCCTCAGGAGGTGATCTGACTAGGCACAAAGAGGCAGCATAGGGGGGAAAGTAAGCCCTGGGATCCCAAGCTGGACAAAGAAGCTGAGCAATGAAAGACATGGGAAAAAAAGTAGAGGAAGATCCAGTGATAACCAAGAGGTAAGCCAAAAGACAGAGAATAGGAAAGAGCACAAGGAAATAACAAGATCAGAACTTGAACAAACTAAGCACAGATTCCCTAGGCTGGAGCATGGAGTAGTTGTCAGGCCCAGATTCCTCTACCGCAGCAGTTCCCAACCACTGGTCCATGGCCTTGCCATAGCAGACTTCCAGGTCACACCCATGCCTTGATCATTGGCTTGGTGAGAATCTAAGTTCCCTGTAAGCTGCAGGCAGCAGGGCTGTGCAGTTGCTAATTGAGCTCTGCCTAGAGGTTTAGGGCTGCCTTGCAGAGAGCTTCCTTGCTGGGGAGGTGCTGGGAGGGAGGGGGACATAATGAGGGAGGGAGTAAGTACTTGGCTGGGACAGCAGGGGGCCAAAAGGGAGGGGAGTTTGGAGAGTGCAGTAAGTACAGGAAAGGAGAGGTTTAATTACAACAATCTGATTACAACAGATTCCTGGCATAGGAGAAAGGCAACAGACTGCATGGGGTAGGTGGAGGAAATGGGGGGAGGTGCTGTCATTTGTGCAGTGAGGTGAGGACAGAGGGAAGTTTGTTTGGGGTGTCTTAACTTGTTTCCTTCTGGGCTGCAGGCAGCAGGAGTCAAACCCTGTCTGTCTGTCTCAGCACTGCAGCCCTAGCAAGGCTGCAGACATAGAACTCTCTCCTGGGCTGGGGCAGGCTGTATGGAGAGGTGCCAAAATGTCAGGTGGGTTAAAAGCTTTTAGGCTGCTTTTGAATACTGGAACAAAGACCTAGCTCATGACATTTGCATGATTACATTTCAAAGTTTACATAGGTGTTAATGGCTTAAGATAGGAAAGGAAAGGATTCTTTTAACAGATTTTTTTAAATGTTGTAGATTACCAGCAAGCTCTGATCCATTACAAGGACATCTATTATGTGCATATAGATGTGATGTAAAATAATATGTGGTTCTTAAATTAATTACCATAGTGAATATTCAAATAAATTGTTACCGGTCTGCCAGAAGTTTGTGAATGGGTTTGCCAGTCCGCAGTATAAAAAAGGTGTCTATCAGACATAGGGAAAGTAGCACAGACTTAGAAGACTGTCTGAGACCACAGGCAGACAGTTTGTCCAATTGGACCTTGATTCCTGGAAAGGGGTGAACTATCTACTCCTGGGGAAATGCTGCACCACTGCACACGCACAAGATTTATGTTCCCCACAGATTTTTTTTAGCTTTCATGCAGAAAAAAAGGGTTTCTGATGAGGGAGGAGACAGTCTGTCCCAACACTATATATTGGGTGCCCAAGGCAGTTGACAGAGAGATAAATCACTGTGCAGAAGAGGACAGGACTGCAGAAGATCTGGCTGGTGGCTCCTAAGAACATAAGAAGGGTCATAGTGGATCAGATCAAAGGTCCATCTAGCCCGGTATCTTGTCTTCCAACAGTGGCCAATGCCAGATGCCCCAGAGGGAGTGAACAGAACAGGTAATCATCATGTGATCCCTAGGAACACCATTCCTACCCTTCCTGGCTAATAGCCATTGATGGACCTAAACCTCCATGAATTTATCTAGTTCTTTTTTTAAACCTGTTAAAATCCTGGTCTTCACAGGAACAAGAAGTTCTGGCAAGGTTGATTGCACATTGCGTGAAGAAAAAAAGGCGGTTACTCACCTTCCTGTAACTGATGTTCTTCGAGATGAGTGTCCCTGGGGTGCTCCACATTAGGTGCTGCGCATCCCAGTGCCTCTGGACGGATTATTGCCTAGCAGTGCATTACAGGGCTGCGCATATGTGGCGAGCGTGTGGGCTTCCCCCGGTACCAATGCACATGTGCAGCTCCCCTCCCTTCAATTCCTTCTCTATCCAGAACCTGGCAAAGGAGTGTAAGTAATGTGGGTTTTTGTTGTTGTTGTGTTTCCGAAGTAGAGAGGAGGAAGGGAAGGCAGTGGAGCACCCCCAGGCACACTCATCTCGAAGAACATTAGTTACAGGAAGATGAGTTGTTACTACTACTACTACTACTACTACTACTTCCTCTTCCTCTTCTTCTTCTTGAGGCGTCCCTGGGGGTGCTCCACACTAGGTAACTACAAGCAATACATGTTATGGAGGTAAGGACTTCGGATCAGGTAAGTATGCTGTCTGCAAAACAGCTTTTGCTAGTCTAGTGTGTTGGAGAAGTCCTGAGGCAAGTGCATAATGTTTTGTGAAGGTATGATCCGATGACCATGTTGCAGGTGCACATATGTCCTCCAGTGGGACTTTCCTCAAGTAGGCTACCGAGGTGGCCATCGCTCTTATACAGCGTGTTCAAACTGAAGTAGGTGGAGGCAAATCACTGAGTGAATATCATGTGGTGATGCAGTCAGAAATCCAATACGATAATCTCTGTGATGATATTTTCTTCCCCATGGTATGGTTTGCAATGGAAACGAACAATTGTGGGGAAGATCTGAATGGCTTTGTTCTGTGGATATAGGAGAAAGCTCTTTTGACATCCAGAGTGTGCATCTGTGCTTCAAAGGTATTGGCGTGAGGATCTGCAAAAATACAGGCAAGTGTATTGTCTGGTTGATGTGGAAGGCTGAATGGACCTTAGGTAAGAACTTGGGGTGTGGATGCACGGACACTGTCTTTGAGAAAAATGGTAAAGGGTGGACTAGATATGAGCGCGGACAGTTCGCTTACTCTACGCGCTGAAGTAATTGCCAGTAGAAAGACAGTTTTCAGTGTTAGGTGGCATAAGGAGCATGTGGCCATTGGTTCGAATGGCGGTTTTGTTAGCTTTGTTAATACCACATGGGTATGTCTACACTACCACCCTAGATCGAACTAGGGTGGTTAATGTAGGCAACCGAAGTCGCAAATGAAGCCCAGGATTTAAATATCCCGGGCTTCATTTGCATCTTGCCAGGCGCCGCCACTTTTAAAGCCCCGGTAGTTCGGACTCTGTGCCCGCGGCTATACGTGGCACGGAGTAGGTAGTTCGGATTAGGCTCTATAATCCGAACTACCGTTACTCCTTGTGGAACAAGAACCTACCCCAACAAGACATTGTGCATCTACATGCCTCCTCCCCTGCACCTGGATCCAGTTAGCCACCTGCACACAGATTATCCCACACAGAACATTCTCAACCCATCTGGGGCACCTGGAACAAAGGGTGAGGGTTGTGGGGGGTTTTCTGGGGCAGCCCTGGTCCTTGCACAGCAGCAGGGTTGGGTACAGCCTCACCACTGAGTATATGTCCCAGGGAGAAGCTGCACAGTATCTCCCACCCGTGGCCTGTGCTCCCAAATGCCATGCTGGAGTCTCCACATTTATTTGACAAGTAAAATTTGCAGAATTCTTTTGTGCAGACTATCCTCAGGAGTAACTATAGTCTCCAGAGCGGGAGGGGGGAAGAGAGGAGGGGAAGGAGGAGAGAGGAAAAGAAAGAGAGAGAATGAAGCAAGTAATCAAAGGAGGGTGTATCAGATGAGAGCAAATTGCATAGAATTGTCTTGCAAAATTCAAGACAATTTTGAAATAGCTTATTTTGAAATTTGGCACAGTTTACACAGTGCCAAATTTCAAAATGAACCTCTGTACTGAATGTCCCTTACTCCTCATGGAACGAGGTTTACAGGGATGTCGGAATAGCGAGTCTGTTATATTTCAAAATAATGGGCTTACTTCAAAGACATAGAATAGCTGTTTCAGGATACTAGAAATATTCTGAAATAGCGCCACTGTCGAGACGTACCCTGAGTGTATATAATCATTAACATGGGTTGAAAGGCGAACATGATAGACAGGATTTATTGCCAAGTAACCAGGGAAATAATTTTCCCAAGTTATTTAATCTGATTAATGAAAATGTATAGCCAACATTTAAATCAAACTAAATTGTGCTGAGTCTTAATTCATCTATATTTCATTTAATTTGATTAACAGAATTAACATTGATATAAAACTACATCATTTCCGTAGCTGTTTTTCTCTGAAGCAGTAAACAGCATTTGATTAAGAAGTTGTCTGCAAAGCGCTGCTAATCAATGGGTACTGCAGGAGATACTGGGTCATCTACAAAGTTTTTCATCTAAAAGGATTTCTTTGATGCAGTATGGCTGTAGCTGTGTTCAACCAAATATATCAGAGAGACAAGGTGGGTGAGGTACTAACTTTTATTGAACCAGCTTCTGTTGGTGAGCACAAAAAGCTTTCAAGGTTACACAACACTCTTTTTCACCTCTATGAAAACTTGTCGCTTTCACCAACAGTTGGTCCAATAAAAAAGATATTCATCCACCTTGTCTTTCTAGAATTTCTTTTGTTCAGGATAAACCCCTCACTACACCACTCCATAGGCAATTTTAAATAGTCTTTAGAACATTTGGTACTAACAAGGATCCAGATACAACAGTGATGGAGGCCACCAGAGTACCTAGATTGATTAAACAGAAGCAAGTTAGCGGCAGGACGAAATAATTTTCCAGTTTGTTTGAAGAAGTTTTAGAAAAGTCTTAATACAGGGGCTCCAAAAACTGCTGGTGTTTTTTGAGTGAAGACCTCATAGCCTGGAGCTGGCTAAATGCCAGGGGCGCCATCTACTCTTCTAACTTGATAATAAGTATTACTTATCCTGCTTCCTAGGGCTTACCAGCTCTGGTAACATTCTGTTTGACAATAACCCAGCTGAAAGCCTAGCAATTTTGTTTCCTTTTTATAAGCAATCCTATTGACCTCAGATCTTTCTAGTACCTGAAATCTCAATGGTCTAAAAAGGATGTATATACATGTTACAGATAAAGCCAACTAAAAAAGACAAAGAACCTCTTTCTTTTTCTGGTATTTTGAAAGACAATGATAAATTATGCCAGAAGTGTTTAACCTCAAAAGAGTATTTTTCTTCTATGTAGCCAGCTACAAAATTCAAGCAAACCATTTTGAAAACAGTAAGATTCAGAATAAGAATTAAATAAAATAGAAAAATCTTCAAATGGGAAGGACAGTAGGTCACCTGATCCAGGAAATGCTAATAGAGCAGGAATCTCTTTTCTGCCAGTATTCTCTCATGAAATTATTCCTTAAATACATACATGGAGCGTTAACTCCTGTACTGTATCAGCTCCCATGACATCACAGGGTAACTTTCACTACAAATTAATAAAACTCTGAGTGAAAAAACTTCTTTCTGGTGTCTAACCTATTTCTCTATCTTCTTAATTACTAATTGAATCCCAAATCATAAACTTACAGTGAAATTCACTTCACAGTGCAAACAAGGGACTAAAAAGTTTTAAGTAATGCATAGGACCTTGTGCAGATGCACTGCCTTCTGAACCTGTAACTAGGCTATTTAGGTATGTCTACACTAGGCCCCTACTAGAACTAGGGAGGCTAATGTAGGCATTCGAAGTTGCAAATGAAGCCCAGGATTTAAATATCCCACGCTTTATTTGCATCTTCCTGTCCGGGCGCCATTTTTAAATCCCCTTAGTCCGAACTAACTGCCCGCGGCTACACGCAGCAGTCAAACGTTAACTCCAACTAAGTCCTTAGTTCGAGTTAACTGTTACACCTCGTGGAATGAGGTGTAACAGTTAACTCGAACTAAGGACTTAGATTGAGTTAACGTTTCACTGCCGCGTGTAGTTGCAGGCAGTTAGTTCGGACTAAGGGGATTTAAAAATGACACCCAGACGGGAAGATGCAAATAAAGCGTGGGATATTTAAATCCTGGGCTTCATTTGCAACTTCGAATGCCTACATTAGGCTCCCTAGTTCGAACTAGGGGGCTAGTGTAGACATACCTTTTCAGGTCAAATTGTATCTCCTTAAAACAGATGTATGATATAAACTGGATTTCAGGAAATTCCTATCCATATATTCCCTCAAGGTTGACAATTAGAGCCCTGCAAACCTGTGGATACCCACTTTGTATCACCTTTGTAGATCACACATTGGATGCAGCTACAAATTTTGTATCCCCACAGGGCTCTACTGACTACATGCCTTTCTTCTTGCAATATTCATTCTTTTCCTGTCTATCAAAAGTTCTTATAAAGTTAATACATAACAGAAACCTACTCTGCAATCATTTATCTGAAATAGTTATTAGAAAATTAAAAACAAACTTTGAGAGAAGTAATCACCCTTCTTCCAACATTTGGTTTTTAGAAATGATTTTGGGTACATAAAAGGTTTTCAGTAAATTTCTTACACTCCCTATTCATCACTACCCTATACTGGCTGTGTAAATAAAATGGTTACCTTCAAGTCTCTGTATACAACAAATCGATTGTGCATGTGTTCTAACCCCAGGATGATTTCAGTGGCATAAAATCTCATCTCCTTCTCAGAAAACACCCCATGCTGTGAGAGGTGGTAGTGCAAATCTCCCCCTAGAATTAGAAAACTGGCATGTAATTCACAAAAAGGAAAATAATAATGTCCTATTGGCTATTTCATTAACAGATGGAGAGCTGCATTATACACAGGCATATAGAAAGACAAAAGTGTAATAATTTTGTTGGTTCTGTCAACTTGTGTGGCAGGTAGAAGCTTGGTTTCACGTGCTTAGGCACTTGCAGCAGATGCTTTTGTGCATTTGAGTATGCATGTTGCCAGTACTCCAATAAATTAATAAAGTCAAGTAAAAACAATAAGCAAATATCACTTCATTTTAAATATGAATTCACATCATCCATGTTTGCTTCTCTTTAGTGATTGCTTTCAGAGAATGCTCAAAGAATTAAGTGTCATTTGTCATGAATTTCAAAATCACTTATGTGAGTTTGCAGAGAAATTAAAATCTCTATTTGCACATGCTGAAATGCTTGCACATCATCCAGTCAGGGAACAGAAACAATATAAGGTGATATATCTAATTATCACACAACTACAAGAGGTTGAATTATTTGTAGAGAAATGTTCATGATCAAACTACAGATTTAAATTAACGAGTCATAAATTTTCAGGGAATCACAGGTTGCAAGGGCAGAAATGATGACTATGATAATCTAATCTAACCTTATAGGCCCCCTAAAATAATTTTAGAGCAATTTGATAGTTACTACCATTTTGACTTCAATGATATTACTCATATATAAAGTTACAGACAGTCTTAATTCTTTACATGATCTGATGCTTAAATTACAAAGTAGTCTTGATCCTGCAGTGCAATGCACAAGGTGCATCCTAGCAACTGAAGACATCTCATTGCAAGATAAGGGTCAAACAGAAGTCCTCCAAACTGCTAAGCCATGTCAGGTACCACTAGCTCGCAAGCTCTTCTGCCTTGGACACTCTGAATCAGTTTATTTATTTCTCAAGTTCACCTTTATGCTAAGGCTCCCATGACTGATTTTCTCATTCTCCTCCTGTTTTGCTGATGGTTCCCTCATTATTTTCTTTGGTGCCTCCATATATTCTATGTTGTTACACCTGAGTTCTACATTCAGTCTTTGCACACTCTATCTCAATGAGACCTTATCTACTGCTACCCTTTATTTTCAGAATTTCCCAATCTAGTCTCCTCTTTTGTCTCTTCTTTTATCTACAATTGCCTCTCAGATCTCTCTCCTAGACATCCTAAAGCTATCTAAATTAGACACTTTCAAGCTCTTTCTAAACCTTTTCCATTTCCTCCCTTCTATTTTCTTCCTCCCTCCCATTTCTCACAGGCTCACAAACCTCGATATCTTTTTCAGCTCTTCACATTCCTTCCTTCAATCTTCTATTAAGCTTAGTGAGTCCTGTTATTTTTTCCTTTATTATACTACTATAATATAATGGTTTCTTTCATTAACTGTGCTTACCATTCATCAGGTCTAGAATGAAGCAGAGTTTGTCAGGGGTGTGGAAGGCATAGGTCATGCACACTATAAAAGGGCAGTCCTGTGAAGGAAATCAACAAAGAGTTCACCTCACATAATATATATTGCCCTTGTTACATGTAAAATAGCTTCTCAAATGATTTCTGTTTTCTAATCTAGATACTTGGATATACTCAATATATAGTTTGGAAAATGCTAATATTTTCTTGTTTTCAAAACACACACACAAAATTAATATAGGCAGCCCTTCAACTTAATGACACAATGCTCTTCTGAAGATTTGCAACCCTATGAAGTACCTTCAGATATCACATTCCAACATTTCTGCAGGAGGATATGCCACCTTTGATGCTACTGGCCTTATAACAATAACAAATATGATAAAGGTCACAAACTATGCAAGAGCCTACAAAGTAACTAAGACGGTCCTTTTGGGAATGGAAAAGAAAGGTTGATGACAGATTACAGGAAGACTGTTTAGCCAGCTGAAGCAGAAGAAAGACTAAATCATTTGAATTAATTCATATGGACAATCTGGAAAACTAGAAAAGGCAACTTTATTTTTAACTGTAAAATTGAGTTTCTGTACATTGATGACATTCAATCCAGACAGCTGCACTCTTCCGACATTCATGGAGAGCAGGCAATTTAGAACTTTGCTATACTCTGATGATCATGTTACACTTCCCTCAGTTTCCCAGTTGCCTTACAATAACAAGGAAAATAAATAATTAAACATCTATTAAGAAAAACACTAGCCTTTATCCCACAGAACACAAGTGAGACAAAGGTCAAAAACTAGATGAAAGAGTTACTCCCCTTGTCTAACAGCGGTGGTTCTTCGAGATGTGTGTCCCTGTAGGAGCTCCACTCTGGATGCTGGTGCATCCTTGCACCAGCAACCAGAGATTTTTCTAGCAGTGTCTGCTGCATGCACCATGGTGCCCCCTTGTGCCATTGGTGTCTATTAGGCATGCGTGCAACACAGCTCCCTCTGTTCCTTCTCTACTCATGCTAGTAGAGCATGGGGCTCCAAAGCAGCAGAAGAAGGGAGGGTAGTGGAGCATCTACAGGGACACAAAACTCAAAGAACCACCGTTACTGCACAAAGTGAGTACCTCTTTCTTCTTCTTCGGGTAGTGTCCCCATGGGTGCTCCACTCTGGGTGACTATAAAGCAGTAGTCAGCTCGTGAAGGCGGGTTTGGAGTCCTTTGTTGTCACAGAGGATAATACTGTGCATCGGACAGCCATGGAAGATGCTATGGAAGATGCAAGAGCATAGTGTTGTGCAAATGTGTGGTCTGATGACCAAGTGGCTGCATTGCAAATGTCCTGTAGAGGAAAGCAGTTGTAGAGGACACAGCTCTGGTTGAATGGGCAGTGATGGTACCAAGTGGGTCTTTGTTGTGGATGGTGTAGCATTTGTGGATGCATGAAGAGATCAACTTGGAGATCCTTTGAGAAGAGACAGCCTATCCTTTGGATTGTTCTGCAAAGGATAGGAAGAGTCTAGGAGATATTCGCCAGGATCTCATATGATCAATGTAGAATGCGAGCACACTGAGGACATCGAAGGTGTGCCATGCAGTGTGTGATGTATCCATGTGACGCTTGGGGAAAAACACAGGTAAGTGTATTAGTTCGTTGGTGTGGAAGGGACAAGGAACTTTCAGGAGAAATTTGGGGTGAGGTCGAAATGTCACCCTGTCCTTGGTAAAAATTATATTGGGAGGTGTCCACCATTAGGGCAACAAGTTCCTCCACTGTCCTACTGGAGGTTATTGCAACTAGGAAGGAGACCTTCATAGATAGGTATGACCAAGAGCAGGTTGCCAAGGGCTCGAAAGGCAACTTAGTCAGGCTCTTGAGTTTAGGTCCCAGAGAGGAACTGGTAGGAGAACGGATGGAAAGGTGTTTTGTAGACCAGCGAATAATCTTTTGGTGACTGGGTTCGAAAGGAAAGAATCATCCTCAGTAGTATGATGGAATGCCACTATAACACTGCATGAACTTTGATAGTACTTAGTGCCAGGCCCGACTCCCTAAAGCAGTGGTCCCCAACCTTTAGAGGCTCCCAGGCACCTGGGGGCGGGGCCACTCACGCA